GTTAATGAAAATAGAGACCAACGAATTTTGTTAAATATCTTTTTTTTGGAAATGTTGATAATTTGTGGCTTATTGTAAATGAAAAAACCTCCACAAACCAACAAATTCGATTTTCGAATCTTCATTAACTGCTTGTCCCAATAGCGACAAAAAAAAGTACGAAGAAATTTGTATCAAAAATTTTTTTAATTAAATAATGAAATGTATGTGTATGTCTAAAGTTAGAACCAGAAGCTCTTAAATTTGTGAGTTTATATTAACTTATATATGTATGTACTAATTTATGCATTATGCATTATTAATGGTATAATGGTAACACTTATTTGGAAAGCTGACAATTTTCTAAACAGAGATGTTAAAATCATTAATAATTTATATTTTTCATAATGACATTCTAACGACACGTTCACTAAAAAATATTTCTCCAATCAATATTTTTTATTCTTATAAATCCTTGTACAAATTTAAGTGAAAAAAAACTGATGATAACGCTCTATTAACTATTTTTCGTGTTGAAATTTTGCAGTCTTTTTAATAAAATGCAACCTGGTGTATTTTTCAGTGGGTTTTGTGTGTTCAAAATATTTATATCAACTGATTGGTACTGAGTGGATGTGTGCACACATAGCAAAAGCTGCATTCATCTGAGTGCTTATTCAGTGTTAAAAGTGAATCGTTCGTCATTCAATTTTTCAATCTTTCTTTGAATATGGAAATGCGTGCAATCGTATCTACTTTGAGTGAATGTAGAATTGGAAAACTATAAGCCGCATTATTCAATAAGGGAGAATTCAATGAAAACATAATAATATAAAATTGTTGATTTTAAATTTCAAATGATTTCACAGTTTTACAGCTCTGTTAATTTTTTATCTATTTACAAAGATTTTGTTCTTAGAATCGAAATTTGAACTAGCAAAAGGTATTTTGTTGGGTACGGCTCGGTTATTTGTACAATAATTTTGGGTTGTTGTGTCACAAGACTTAACCCAAAGCAAACAATTTTAACACACACGTGTTGTCAAACAATTAAACATTAGTTTAAAATAAAAATTTCAAGTTTTCAGATACAAATTTATGAATAAATTCGGTTTGAAATATGGCCCTTCTTGTAAAAATTACTGTGGTCAGCGTAGCCTGAGTTGGACTGATGAGAATTAATTTTGTCTAGCGCTGCCGAAATTTTATCCAATTTGTTGCCGTCTCCGCTTCCCATTCCATAACCATTGCACAAATAACCGAACGTTTCCCTGTTTGTATTTTAAAGAGAATGCTCAATAAGTTGATAATTGTGTTTCTAGTTTTCATTCTAACAATAAATCACAAATTGTGTATCACACCAACTCTAATATTGAGTAAAATATATTTTAATTTTTTTCCAAAGAAACAACGATATTGTCGAAATATACTAGAATTGGATAATACTCACTTCTCTGAAAGTCACGAGGCCTATGGGTCCCAAAGAAAGTTCCGTTTTCACGTTACTTGAACACGTACTTACGTTGACATTTCAATGTCTCAATTATATCAGAAGCATTCGTATCCGATATAGAAAACTGTAATAGTCCTGGCTAGCTACATTGTGTAATAATCAGATGACATAATGACACTAGAAAATTTTAAAATATGTTTACTAAAATTTTATTAATGTAAAAATAAAGATTTTGGCAAGTAGTTATCGAATTTAATGTAAAATTTAAACGTTTTTAAGATAAAATATTATTTATTTTTAAAAGGTAAATGTTAATACAACTATTTTATTTATACTCCCAAATTTAGGATATAAAAACCCCTCTACCAAAAAACTTAAATTGGGTAACGCCGCTTCGATTTTTTACAATTGAGCAATTGTCAAAAATCTCCTTTTTAATCAAAAAGTTGTTTATTGAAACTACCTTCTTTTTTGTATCATGGATGCGATCAACTAATTAGCAACGAAATTCAAAATTATATTGTTTGCAAATTATGTTTATTTATTTATTTTTAATAATTTCCTTTAAAATATAATTCAATCTATAA